ATAAATATTTAAATTCTAGAGAAAAACGAGAATTTTCATTTCAGGCAGTTTCGGTCGACCGGTTGTAGTCCGGTTGACACTACCCAGCTTTCAGTGTTTTTATCATAACTTCTTCTCTCGATATCCGATTGAAATAATTCAAAGTGCGTTGGAAAGCTAGCTCAAAGAGCTACAACTTTTATTTAGATATCATTTTCCAAATCGAATATTTCCTATGTCGAAAATGGATCTCAAATGAGACTAAAAATCTGAAGTATACTTTAGTCATCCAATATTCATGTCTTAGTGCCACTAAGGTGTCTAGAATTATTTGGGATTCTACAAGGACCAATGCAAAATGTCAAGTGGAAGCCTATAAAAAATCTGTCAAAGTTTACCTGTAAACATAGCATCACTCTAAAAATTATGTACATGCTCGTTTAGATGTCTATGCATTTATTCAAATTTTATTTATTTATTATTATTATTTTTTTTTTGGTTCTATACTCGTAGATTTGACTAAATTGACATGGAGCTCCCATTGATCAAGTGTAATAGAGACAAAAAGGTGGATTTTTAAGTATTTTAACCAAAGGAATTTGATTTTTTCCTAACTCCAAAGAGATATTTCGAAATCTTCTCCTAATTAACCCTACTTGACAATGATAGCCACGTGAAATCATGCTTAAATTGATCCACATTCAACGTGATACGACATTAAGAATGTATGCTTCCAAAGATGCGTGATTTTTCCGTTGACAATTTAATCCCAATTCAAAATCTTTGATATAAAAAAATGACTATACGAAGAGGACAAATGATGAAGTTAATCGTGTATTTTTGTTCTTTTATAATATTATTCAATTTTTATAATTTAGGACTAAACACGTTATAACAAAATGACACAATAGTTGATCATAACCTAGCAAGCAACACCATTTTTGAATGAATACAGAGTTAATATAAGGCCGTGCAATATTGGATATAACGTACTTTCTCTTATATTATGTTCTTAAATAATGCATACCTTCCATGAGATTTATAAACTTTTAGAGGCATCCTCGCCCTTTAAAATATTACACAACATATCCTCCCCTGCTTAAAATTTTGAATATCGTATGCTTAACCTGAGAAAATCACATAAAATTCTCTTATTTCAATATTGCTTACTTACATTGATCATTTTTTTTTCCAAAATGTTAGCATAAATAATAGTGTTAATGCTTAAAATACCTTTAAAAATTTTCTTCCATCTCGTGGCTCATTGATAAATAATATAATACCTCAAATACCCCTTTAATAGTTCTAAGTAAATCAACAATGAAGTATTATTTAAACTATTTATTATTTAAAAATTACTTCAAAATTTAATTGATTGAAAAAATTATATTTCGAAACATACAAGATGGAGGGATTCTAGTTGTGATTTCATCTTAAATGAGTACTAAAAAAACATGTTAATTGTAAGTGAATTACTTTTTTGAAGGTGATAACTAACATGATTATATTTTTCAAATTTTAATAGGTTTGCAAATTTATTATTGGTTTTATCATTTTTGCTTTAACAGAGAGTTGACAATAAATGAAGTTATCGAATGATCCACTAAGTGGAGTTTAAATTAACACTACAAATGCCTTCTTATTTAAATTGTTATGTTTTATAAATAGTGGTTAGTTTATAGTCAAATAAAACGTCTATTATTTTTTTATTAATTAGGACATTGCTTTCCGTGTGCCTATTACTTTAATATATGTAAATATTTTTTTTAAGTATATATGTCAAATCAAGTATCTCTTGATGCATTTTTGAAGAATTGAGGTGTGACTAATATTTATTTTTTTATTTTATTAGAAATGGTAAATAGGCATTTTAATTATTACATTATTGTTAAAGGAGTCACGGGATTAAAAAAAATCATAAATATATTTAAACATTACTACAAATATTTAAGTTATTATGTGAAATAAAAGTGATCAATGGAAGTATGCATTTTTCAAAACTTGAAATAAGGAAGCATAGATGAAGGTATAGGGGATGGGCAGGGACTACCGTAATGACAACCTTTTAAAAAAAATTTCAATATATACATAAGAATTATATTAAATTTCGAAATTGAGTATTTTCACAAAATAATTGTATAGCCGAGTGGTAAAAGTCTGTCTTTGTGATTGTAAACAACGTATGTTTGAATCCCTCAAATGCGACCTTGGTTTCTCGAAAAAATAAGTTGCATAAGCAAAAATAAATTGTGTTAAATATTTTTCACCGAATGAAAGTTGATAGAGACTCTGTCAAGCTAATGTGAGAGGGAGAAAATTGAAGATGACTAGAGCTCGTCTGATTCAAAGCTCTATTAGATGGAACTACTCAACAGAGTTAATTTTCTAACCAATTTTATATTCAATTTTCAGACTTAGACATGATTTTGTTCTTATTTTAAGAAAATAAGAAACTTATAAATAGCAATCCATAAAGCGGACTTATTTTGGACCTAGTGTATTTTAGTTTTTATTAAACATCAATGCCTCAGAGATTGAAAATATTTCAAATACTGTCTCTAATGGGGTGGTCAAGTTGGTGGGGTAGGTGAGTGTGAATGCCTTTGGTCACGAGTTTGATTTCTCCTACCAATACCTTCTCGATCAAATCTGTCGCACCGGACTTACCTAATATGGTTTACCTGATTGGCGTGATTTGCAGGCTATTGCGTCAACCCGAGAGTTTACCCAGTGCATACCTGAAAGGTAGCGACTATGAGTTAATAATTTATTGAATGCATCGAAATGCTACTTGATATAACATATGTGAAATTTTATATAGACTCATTTTATCTTTCTTTCTATTTTTCTGCTTAAAATTTTATATAATTCAATCTACTTCAACTGTAGGACGTAGTTCGTAAAATACAAAACAAGCAATAGCATAAGGGAGAAAATATTTCACCCTTTTTGAAAATGTCTAATGGAATTGTCGGAAAGGAAGAAAATGAATTCCCAAATCCTCGCCTTGTATTATGGTGGATGTTATCTTTAACTTGGAGTGCGACGGCCACGTGGGAAGTTTAAGTTATTGATACTGTAACTGTCACATATGGTGGTTTTCAACGGTTAACGGTCAATAACCTATATTAACGGCGGAGTTAATGGCGATTTAATCATGTAATTGCTTTCAATTACATCCGGGAAATCCTGTACACTACAAGGTATAACATACATCCTTGGAATATGGGACTTTGAAATTTAAGGCGTAAAAAATAAATCCCGTTACAGTGCTATAATTTTTTTGATAGAGGGGGTGATCGATTCTCACAATGACAGAGGTCCCACCTTTTTTTTGAACTTTTTTATTCATGTGGGACCCACGACATGTGAGAGGATGTCAACCATTCGAGGCAAAAAAATTCTGGCAAAGCAGCAAAATTCGTAAAAAAAAATTGAACAATGGACCCACAGCCTGTGGTGATTGTGCAAAATGGTCCTTAAGCATCGTCCGATATTGTTAAAAGTCGATTATAGTTGAAGGGTCCCAAAATATATAATGAAAAAGTGAATAAAAATTGTGGGTTGAATAAAATGTGCACTTAAAAATGAAGTTTGATCAATTTTTTAACAAACAAAAGCTCTACGGGCGAAGGATTATGAATTATTCCTATTGAAACAGAATGTCATGAAAAGAATTTCAGTGTCTTCTTTCTTAAGAATTTCAGATGCCCTGTTTTGTCAGCTGAGAAAAGCTTCGTATCTTAGCATCAATTTGTCTTTTAAGCTTAGAAAATCTTCATTTTTGGCATCAATCTTCATTTACAAATGCAAAATTCTTGAAATAATACAGAATGGCTATAATTTGTTAGGATCCAGTTTTAAATAATAAAAAAATAATAATAAGCTAAATTAATTAAAATCAATTATAATCATGGAATATTACAAGAATTTCAATATTTTTCTCAGAAAAATGAAATTAGTCATAAGGTAAAATTATCAGTCTCTTGATCTATTAGTTCACTCTATTAATTATTTATTAGATCATAATCCAAAGTTCTGGTTTAACTACAGTTAGACGTAAAGTGATACAGGGGCATTTCATTGCTCTATAAATAGAGTTAATTCTTGCAGTGCAGTCTCCACAGAACTAAACTTTTTTATACTAAGGGAATTAACAAAGCTCCATTTTCATGGCTTATATTTTGCATACAAACTCTCTTTTAACTTATTTAGCATTATGTTTTCTTCTACTTAACTTTTGCTCTTGCTTCAACCCTAAGCTTCTTGATGTCTCAAAACTTCAATCTGATTCTGAATGGTCACCGGCTGTAGTTACCTGGTATGGAAGCGCTAATGGTGCAGGAAGTACTGGTAAGAATTAATATATATATTGGGATTATCTAAAAAGAAAGAAATTTATGAAATTTTTGTTTCTTTGCGAATTTAGGGGGTGCCTGTGGATACGAAGATGCTGTAGGGGAACCACCATTTTCGTCCCTAATAACTGCTGCGGCTTCATCTCTATACAAATCAGGCAAGAGTTGTGGAGCTTGTTACCAGGTGCTTCAAATTATATGATTCTGGTCGAACATGCAGTTCAACAATATATAAGAACTGTGCTAATTATGGTTTTTGGGATTATTTTAACTAGGTCAAATGTACAGAAAATACTGCATGCTCGGGTAATCCGGTAACTGTAGTTATAACAGATGAGTGCCCGGGTTGTGACTCAGAATCAGTTCTGTTTGATTTAAGTGGAACCTCCATTGGAGACATGGCGACTACTAGCCAAGCTGATCAACTGCGGAATGCTGGACGTGTACAAATACAGTATCGAAGGTAAAAATTTTGAGGCTTGTAAATTTGAATCTTTATTTTTATTTATTTTTCAAAATTTTCAGAGTGGAGTGCAATTACCCTGGAGTACGATTGACCTTCCGAGTCGACGCGGGTTCCAACTCCAACTATTTCGCCGTAGTAATTGAATATGAAGATAAAGATGGAGATGTTGCATCAGTTGAACTCAAACAGGCTTCGGACTCAGATTCTTGGGTTCCCATGCAACAGTCCTGGGGTGCTGTGTGGAAACTGAATTCTGGGAATTCATTGCAAGCCCCATTCTCCATTAAGATAACTGGGGATTCTGGGCAGAGTCTTGTGGCTAACAATGTGATACCTGCTGGATGGAAGCCTGGAAATATTTACAGATCAGTAGTCAATTTTTAATGGATATGGCTTTGCTGAAGTAATTTTACTGGAGAATAAGCAGAAGTAGATACACGAGAGATTTTTGTAATCTTGTGACGTTGTTCTACTTGTTTGAATGAAATATATACGAGTATATCGAGTTTAGTCATTCTGCACAAATTCCTTATTTTGATTAATTGAAACAAAATCACAACAAGACCTCGTAGCATTTTGCGAACTCTCAACTTGGCTTCAAGTTTCACGTTGAGTTCTAAACGTGATGGAATTGTAGTTCAATTCTTGAACTCTCAACTTGGCTTCGATCTAGTCGAGACCACTTGATTGCATTGGATTCAAATGGTTAGACACTTAAGTTTTGCCTAATTGGACTCGATCGAGTAAAGTTATTAACAATTAAGTAAGTTTACGGATTTATTTTATTTATAAGTGAAATGTTAGCGTTGATATCAAAAATTAATAAATCAATCCTTGACTATAGAAATTATAAGCCGTCATGTAAGTTTGTCCATTTAAAATTCATTGAACAAAATTTTATTGTCCCCTTGCCCCTGATTGATTAAAGATAATAGGGATTGGCCTATAGACTAAATAGCACATGAGGCCCACGGTTTAGAAGAATTACAAACATTTTGACTATTTTTCACTTTTAATCTCCTAAACGGTCCTCCTTATCACTTTTTCTACTAATTTATTTATTTTTATCTTTATTTTAAATTTTTGCAATAGATAGCTTTTAACCTCAACGATTGCAAAATTTCAAATTCATAACTAAGGCCAACCAAACAATCTCAGTATTAAATAAGAACTTACTGACAGAAATAAGATTTTGATTTTCTATTTAAAATAACTTCATTAATGAAATCTCTAATAGAAATTTTCCCCCTATAAATTTATGTCTGATTTTTGTTGATGATAGTTATAGATAATTATTTAAATTAATTTAATTTATCGATGGAAAATTATGTCGATAAATAAAGCAATAGAAAAATAATAAACACTGCTGATGGAAAATTCCATCAATAACAGAATAAAAATATTTTTTATTAAATAATGAAAAATAATTCCATAACTAGTGGCTGAAATAAATATCTTGTAAAATTTAATTTAGAGGGGAACTTCCATCAGTAAATAAACTAATAAAAAAATAAATATTATTTTTAGTCGTTAGTAAAAATTAAATATAATAGATCGCTATTGTTTCTCTCTTTAATCAAAAATCAAAATTGAAGAAAATATGTAAATATGAGAGTCCAAATTATTTCCATCCGTCTCTGGCAGGGATGACAATGGGCTGGGTTGGGTTAACTATTCAAAAGCCAAGCCCAATCTGACCAATGCACTAGGCCGTCCGGGCCCTGTAAAAATACAGGTCCAGGCTTATTCTCAATGGGGGCCCTATCCAGCCCAAACCGGATAGGTCAGATCATGACCTTTTTACAATTATTTTTTATTATTTTTAAAAACATATTTGGAAAAAAAACTCGAATTATAGATTTTGTCAAAAGCCTCTTCTTTTTGAGCTTGGGACCACCTACTATTATAGAAAAAATGTTGAACCCCAACCTTGAGAGCTCTCACCGCCTCGTTCCTGGAGCATTGTGAAGGAGGTAAATCGCGAGATATGCTCCCATCAGATCAGGGAACAAGAATTTATCCGTACACTGGTGCCCACAAAGAATCCAATTTCATATTTCAGGAGTCGAACCTCTTACACAGCGACTGTCAGCAAGATTGAGACTATTTCACTCATTTCCTTTGTACCACTGGATTATGCAAAAAAAAAAAAAGAAAAAAAAAAGTGATATTATATTTACAGAAGTTTGAACTATTATATTATTTCAAATCAACTTTAAACACTTCTAGGCTCTGTCGGGAAGAAAAAGTCCTTGTGAACTCAGTAAAAACAAAAAATAAAAAATGAGTAAGAAAGAGAAAAATGCGAACTAAATGTGGTTTAGCAAACTATCGATAAAACTAATATTTTCCTCACTCTCACAATTTCCCCCTACACAAAACTAATACGAAAGAGAAAAATGCGAATTAAATATGGTTTAGCAAACTATCGACAAAACTAATATTTTCCTCGCTCTCACAATTTCTCCCTACACAAAACTAAAATGATCAACTTATTCTGCAAACTTGTGCTTATCGTTAATCTGATTTTTCTCTTTTTGTGACCAATTTTCTCTATATAAACTCTCATAATTCTCTATCCGAAGTAACGTCACCTTGGCGTCAGACACAACTTTTCTCAATGCATGATTTATAGGAAAGATCCTTGAACTCTTTTTATAAGTTTTCTTCCCCTATTCAAATATTATTTTCTTTTACAATAAGACTTCTTTCCTTAATGTACTCTTTTTCCCTTTTAATGTCAAACATTAATTCTATGTCCCTTTTTTCATATTAAAGTTATTTTATTTAACAAATTTGGATCTCAATGTCCACCTTGACCCAAAATCTTTTAATCGACGCACATCTTGACACCTATCCTCGCACCTCTTTCATCGATAGATGCCACAGTTTTTCTGTCAATGATAGAAGACAAATCCAGATTCAAATACTCGTCAAACCTAACTTTGCAATTTGAATTCTTGGTATTATAATTTTTAATCTTCTAATTACTACTCACAAATTTCATCTTGACTCCTTCACAATATTTGCGTGACTTGATTAATAGAACTTCACATCCATGTGACTCGAACTATAGCTCCACATCAATGTCACACAACCAGTGTATCTCAACCAGTGCAGGTATACCCCTTTATGACTCGATTATCATCAATAAGTTGAAATCAAACATATTAAATCTTTATTCGTCACACCTCCTCATTTTAAGCTGCCATACTCTGCCAAGAAGTATTTATAACTTTACCTTTTGTGTTTCTTTGCTTTGGATTCAAATGACATTAACTTACGGTGAAATACATATTTGCTTAAACTTAAAATTATCACTTATTTTTACAAATACCAAAAGATTAGTCAATATAATCTCGACTAAATCCACAAGTAGTTCACTCAAATCATAATTGACTCGTGGCAATTACTCATTAACCCAAATTAACACTTAAAATGCCGGCTAAGCTAAACAATAGAATCCTCAAACAACACTCCTCTATTAACTAAAACTTCGTTGTTGTCTCCTACCCCCCAACTTCCCTGTCAAAGTCTACTTACTCAACCCAGTCAAGGCCACTCAAATCCCAAAACCACCCTCATTTCTTCCTCAAATCATAGAAAAACCCGTAGTCTCACGGGGTCATTTACGTCATTCTACAATCCCATTAACGATAAATCCTTTGCCTCGCTGGCTTTCGTATCTTATTTGCCGCCACTTTTCCAGTAGTTTTTGTTTTATATCTCAACTACTTTCTCTAACACACCAACAACATTGGATAGGGGTTAATTAAAACTCTCTGAAGAGAAACCATGGACGTTTGTGATCAATCTTTGAAGCCTAAGAAGCCCAAATCTCGACAAGTAAAATCACCAGCCTCACCTGAAAATGGATTTCAATCCCCAAACAATACCGTTTCTCCGCTAAGGCAACATGCCCGTTCATCTAATGATTCGAGAAAGCACAAAAGCCTCAAAAGGTCGGGTTTTTTACGTGGGCTTTGGCCGTCATCAACCCCATCGTCACCTTCAAAATCAAAACTTGATACTCTAGGAGACCACCTTGGAAATGATGGAATAAAAGACCTTAAAGAACGAAGAAATAATGACAAGTCTGATGATTCGCTTGTTTTTACCAGGCAAAGAAATTGCTCCGAGCTTACCAGGTTTGAAAATGATCAGAAAAAGATTGCTAAAGAAAATCATAAACCGGGATTTGGAGGATCCATTCGTTACACTGGGAGGTTGAGATTTCCTGGAAGATCAACGAATTCTTCATCATCCAAGAATTCAACTTCAGCTGACGATCAAAATGATAATATAGCACCTGGGAGGTTTTCAGTGGATGAAACTGCACTGAGAAGGAAGACTTTTTACGATACACGGGACTCAGATTCCGAATACAGTGATGTTTGTTCAGGCACAAGCCTTGACATTGGACAAAATTTACCAGCTTCATATATGGCTTCAACAGTGAGTTCAAGAAAGCATGGAATTGCAGTGCCATCAAAGTACAAGAATGATTCATTTTCAAGGTCTAGAAAATGGAATGCTGATTGTGGTATTCAGAAGCCAATTTCATCATCAGATAGTTCTCCAAAAAGATTAACACCAAAGAATTCAATGAAGAAGAACATTTCAAAGTGGGAATTGTCACTGGGGCATCCGAGCTCGCCGGTGACGTTGAGTGATAACAAAGGGAAGATTATGGGATCGTCGAATCTAAAACCTCTAGGTCCTTCAAGGGCTAAAGGAGTTGAGAGTCTTCTCAGTATGGGGATAGAATTGTTGAAGGGTAAGAAATCCTCTCCAAATCCATCGTCACCCCGCAGACCAGGCTCCTTGGCGAGTGTTCATCAATTGAGGTTGTTGTACAACAGGTTTATGCAATGGAGGTATTCTAATGCTAGAGCTGAGGCTGTTAATGGGAACATCATCAGAAAGGCCGAGGTAGGTATACATATGTATGCTTGACTTGTATTTTTGGTATATATATGTTTGGTAAAATATTTTATAGATCATAAAATATTACTAAAACTGTCCATTCGGGAACAATACCATAAACTTGGAAGGTTGTTGACGTCGTCTCAAAATAAAATTATCGAAAAACGGAGAACAAATTGCTACGAAGACTCTAAGTTCGGACTATTGCTTATAATTTTCCCTTCGTACTAATCTTTGGAGTATTCTATTGATCAACGTGCACACATCTATGTTACAAATGTGCATAAGCTACTTTCTTATCAATAGTAATTTTTATTATAACATCGACAAGCTCCATGGGCCTCTTGCCTCTATAGAATTGGTCCAACTTGCGAAAGACCAACAAGCTTAAACTAAACAATGATGTTAGATAGCATTATTCTATTTGAATTTTTGCCAAGTGGACTTGAGAAGTTCACCTGTTTAAAGTTGTTAACCCTAACTGATAAATATTTCTGTGTTTTGCAGAGCAACTTGTTACATGCATGGGATGGTCTCGTTAAACTACAGCACTCTGTACTACAAAAGAAACTAGAGTTACAACATGGAAAGCTAGAGATGAAATTAAATCACATTCTTCAGTCTCAAGTTAGTAAAAATTCACATTTTATGACCATTACTTTCACATTAATAGTCAGTAAACCGAATGCAATCCAATTTGATGTGCAATGCGTTCGATCGAGCAAACAAAATTTCAATTTTGTTAATTCATACATCGGGATATCAGCATTAGCATAATATTGTTCGTGTATGTTATGATCACACAGATAAGGGTACTAGAAACTTGGGGCAACATGGAAAGAGACCATATATCAGCAATTTCTACAACCAAAGATTATTTGCGTTATGTTGTTTGTATGATACCCCTTGTTGAAGGAGCCAAGGTAATCTCAAATGTATTGATGCATATACACATACGGTATATGTACGTATATATCCAAGAGTAAAATTATTATTATAGTATCTAATGAATTTTAACTTATGGCATAGCAGGTGGAACCACTATCAGCTTCCGTTGCCATTCGCCATGCATCAGATGTTTCAGCATTTATCAACTTAATGTTAACAAAATCCGCATCTACGGTAAATATAGCTAATCATTGTGATACAATGGTTCAATCCCTTTCGACATCCACATCTTGTAGAGAAAAGTAGTGGCGGGGCAAAAGTAGAAGTCCTGCCAAACGGTCTGTAGTTTTTCTTAGTTACTAAGTTTGGAAGTTTGCGTAGGTGGAGACAACGGGAGGGGTACTCGTTGAATTAGCAAGAGTAGCCACACAAGAGAAGCTGCTATTACAAGAATGCTTGGAGCTTTTAAAAACGATTTCTGCTTTGCAGGTTAGAACAAATACATAAATATTCTCCATAGAGACTATTGCTCATTGTAAATATAGTGGTTTGATCTTTATTTATTTTTATTTTATTTTTTTGGTTTTTGGGCAGATAAAAGAGAGCACTTTGAAGTGTAGCCTCATGCAAATAAAGTTCAATCATGCTATTATCCAATAAAAAATGACATTATCCAATAAAGTTTTTCCCGCAGCAGCACAACCATCAAGAAGCTATCTCCACACGACTTATTTCACTAATTTAATTCCCTTTTTTTTCTTTTGTTTGCCGTCCATAAGATTTTTTCTTAATTAAATTGATGAATAATTGAGATAATCGATGGGGGTTATGTATGAATGTACCTACTTAATGAAAGGAAGATGCGTTAATATCTTAAAAAAAATGACCATGCGCACAAATGAATCCTCGTATAATAGGGTCAAGCGATCACAATAGGTAAAGTTTGTTAGATGACGAAACATTAGACCTGCAAGTGAGTTCGTAAGCAAGCGCGTAGATATATAGGCTTGTCTAATTCCCATTTTGCTAGTAATATCACCAGTGGATAGTGCTAAAAATAGATCAAATTAATGCACAGATTTGGCTTGATAGGCTTAAGAGTGTTGAATAGGCTTAAGAGTGTTGACTTATCTCAGATATTTTAACTGAATGCTTAATACAAACCAAGGTGATACCAATGGGATGATTCTGTACTGCCACAGAAGAAGTGCTGGTTTCAACTTCCATCACCTTTTGTGAAGGGTCCACCAATACAAAGGGGACTGACAGCTATATCAACAACGCTAAAAAGGGATAGAAAGCCAGTTATAACTGTGTATTTACCATTTTAAGTTAAATTTTCTTTAAATAATAAGGCATTGTAAAATTGAGAATACTGGAGGCAATAAATGAGTGTAACATGTTATAAAAAAGAACCACCACATTCAATTGTCACCCAGTTGATTCCCAATACTCCATAAATCATTTGTGCCATTGTCACACAACAGATATCTAGGAAAAGGAGACAACAGAGAAGTCCATAACAATTGACTCGGCATAGAAAAATTGTGATTTTGTGAACAAGTTTTTTTAACTCAAGGTTAGAAGCATGGACTAGCATTAGTACATCTAGGCACTGCTCAAGTTCAACAAGATTTAAAGCATAATTATCTGACTTTACAAGCTAAAACGACAACCATAAATATCCCTTTTAGGTGACAAAGACCAAGCTGGGATGCAACCAAGAAAAACTAAAAATGTAAATGACACAAAGTACATTAAAAGGAACCATGTACTAATATTAACGTGAGAGAAGTGGTTTGAAATAGGTAAATAATGCTAACTTTGAGTTGACTTCGTTCGCGGTCGAACTGGGAATCCTGTGGTTCAGACCATAGTTATGTACAATAAATAATTCTAGCCACATCTCTTTCCAATCGCACATTAGCTGCCACTGCAGAGAAACCAAACATTAGTTTGCTAATCATTAGCTGATTCAAGTCTGACATGTCTCCAAGTAAATAAAGATAGTAATGAATTACTCAACCTTGGAAAGAAGGTTGAATTAACAGGTACAATTGCTGTTACGAAAGGCAGCACAGAGATTCCTCAACCTTGGAAAGAAGAACGAATTAACAGGTGCAATTTTAGTTTCGAAAGAATCTCACAGGATCATATCCCAACATTGTTCCAGCCAAACTCGGAGCAGTCCTTGTCCATTTGAATAGTTACGAACAGTCAAATTGTTTACCGACCATTGAGTAATGAATGATTTGCCTCATTGCAGCAATGTTTCTTTCCGGTTAATTGTTCCAATGGTCACTGAATTTAGGTTAATGTCTTTAATTGGTAACTGAAGTTCAAAATATCGAGTTTTGATCGCTGAACTGAGTTCCATGTCTTCAATTGCTCATTAAAATTTAAAATGTTGAGTTTTGACCACTAAATTTTGAAAAATGTTGTAAATTACTCACTGTAAACTCGACATTTTTCAAAATTCAACATTTGTGTCAGTGAGTAACATACAATATTTTTCAAAATTCAGTGGTCAAAACTCGACATTCTTAATTTCAATGAGCAATCAAAGATATGGACTTAAGTTCAGTGACCAAAAAACTCAACATTTTAAATTTCAGTGACTAGTCAAAGATATGGATCTAAATTCAATGACCATTGAAACAAATAATTCGTTTCTTTCAGAGGTACTATTGTTTACTACATTTCTAGCTATATATATGATCCATTTGGTAGAACTTTTGATTTTATTTTTTGTAAAAGAGTTTCATGAGAAAGTTGTATTAGACCAACTTCTTCTAAAAACTATTCTAACTAGACAAAGTTTTTTCAAAAAATAATTCAAATACATTCAAAAATAGTTTTTTAGTTTCAAAAGCATATTTGACTTTTAAAATCCTTGCCCAACGGGTCCATATTAGTGCTAATTTTTTTGAGGTTATGATATAGTCTTAATTATTTTCAATTAGAGGTGAAAGCCAAAGAAAATTTGGTCGTTTAAGAAACACATTTCCTGAAATACACAATGTATTGATACACAAAAGGTATTACTAGTGGTGGAAGCAATTTCTGTTAGGAAAAACCCTAAACCCTAAACCATTACTCTAACTAAAAACTACGAGTACTAAACTTCTATTAACCTTATATCCCTAGAATTACAACTTATTCTACGAGTACAAACTAGATCGCCATATACATTTCTCTTCAACTTATGGCTTTTCTTTTGAATGATATGCTTAGTGTTTCAGAGATTATGCTTTACTTGGCTGATTTAAGTGAATGGGCTTACAGAAACTACAATTTTGATCTCTGGGGTTGAATCACCAATTTTTTTAATCGGACTCCTCAGTGGAGTCTGAGTTTTACAAACGTAGCAAGGATGTTATTTTTCTTGCATTAATCAAAATCAAATGTTAAGAAAATAAGTTAATATAAGTATCCATATTATTTTCAATCATTCTAGTGCCATCTAATGAGAGTTTGACGAGTAAAATTGCCTTCGTGCTTCATGGAGCGGCTTATGGTTTGTGCTTTCGAATTTTTCTCTAGTTTTGTGTGCTTCAAAGTTGAACAAATAAACTTAATAATACTCTGGTTTCGTGTTGCTAAAAATTGGGTTTTTACTGGATTTTAATAAATATTGATAAATTGTATGATTGAAAAGTTGTAGGTTCCATGAAATTTGGGGTTAAAATTAATTGTTAATTTTTAATTTAAATTTTTAGCAATATTTTAAGCTACGCTAAACATGAACTTAGTAGATTTTGATAAAATTGATGAATATACACTTGAAAAATTTTGGATATCATAAAATTAGTTATTAAAATTAATTATTAATTTCGTTTTAGAATTAACTTTTAGTTCAACCAAACATGGGGTTAATAATAAAAATTGATGTTGTGAAAATTTGAAAATCGTGAGGTTGATCATTTAAAATGAATAATAAAGACCTGCAATTTATATTTTGTATATTCTTCTTATGAAAACTATAGTCTTAGACCCTTATACTTTATTGACATGTTTTTTAGACTATATTGGATGCGATTGAAAGAGATACATATGTGAGATAATTATCGATGCCTTATGCACTCCAATTCAGCACAATGGTCGAGAGAGGTAGGAGCCAGTGCGGTCCCTAGTCTCCTTTGAAAAATAGAGGGAAAAAAATAATATATTTCTTTTTATTTTGTTTACCATTTAATTTTAATACTATTAGATTTTGTGCTTGAAAAAATTTTGTTAGTTAAATTTGGCCTTTGTGAATCTGGGTTATAGCTCATCCACTGGTTCAACATATTAAGCCCATGATTGGTGTAGATTAAAATTAGATTTAAAAAAAAAAAGATAAAAATTGATTAAGTCCCTGTTTGAGCCCCTTTTTTGAAAAAAAAAAACTACATTTTTAAACAATGTTTCGACATCATTTTAATCACACATTTTTTAATAAAATAATATTACACGTAAATCTAATTTTTCCTTATTTTTAACCACACATTTCTCATCAATACACTATTCAAAAATTCATTCTTATGAAAAGAATGGGGCTCAAACATGGGCTAAATTTGTGATTGAAAAATTGTGAATCTCATAAAATGTGTAGTTAAAATTAATTATTAACTTTTGACTTGAGATTTTTATTAAATTTTAAGCTTCACAAAACATGGACTAAATATTGTTCTCTAAAAAAATAGTTTGTCCCCTCAAAACTTTTTGCCAATGCATAAAATTTTGTATGTGTACATGTATGTAATGCAATATTGGATCTTGTTTTGTTGATTCAAGGAGTCTAAAACGGAGTATGAATACATTATTTGTTGACCCCAATAAATGTTGCCAACAGATACCGGACCCACTTGCGCACATGTAAGCGAAAATCCAACACGTAAAGACACGTGGACGGTCTAAAACAGACAGATAAAGGGCGTGGAAGTAGCTCAACGACGCGGGACGAGAACGTTCCGAATCTGTCAAAATGATCGTAGACCGATTGTACAATAATTACCAATTAATGTTTGCAAATGTGTATGTAAATATGCGTAAATTCGTATTGTGTTGCAAGATAATAAGAAAGAGAGAGTAAAGTGTGATTTCTTGTATTGATTCTTGCATTAACCTTTGTGTGGGGCACATGGGGGAGTATTTATAGTCTCATAAGTTAGAACGTGGCTTTTGGTTCGGGGTACACGTGGCGTCATCCGGTTAGTTTACATGTCAAATTGTAGGCATCAGCCGCACCTAGTCTGCTATACATTTATTGATTGGCGGAGTCACCTCTACTAGTGACAAGACTTAACATTTACAATCATGACAAACGTCCTATCAATCATTCTAGTATGATCTTTGTGCAGAGGATCTCTTGGGGGAAGTATCTATAGAAGATGCTGCTTTGTGATTCGAAGGTTGCTACCTCGGCTACAAAGCTTCAGCCAACTGGGCCTCGACATATGGGCTTCGGAAGCTCCTCAAGAGGCAATGATAGATGGGCATCGGTATATATGGGCCGAGGCTTCTGTGGACCTCGATTTGTGGGCCTCGACTATGCAAATCACCTCGACTTGAGTGCCATGTGGTTCGGCATGAGTTGGCTGTGGGCTCTGGTCGGTTGTCCAAGTGTGCAAACACGTAACAATAGTCCCCCAAGTCCAAGTATAGTCATTTATGTAATG